AAAGATTGCATATTGCATTGGAAATTTTAACTACTGAACGCCATTACGTTGAATGTTTGTTACTTGTTCAAAAGGTATATATAGAAAATAAGCCCATCTATCTAATTTTCATGATAATTGATTAATATAACAAATCAACATGTTCTAATTTTCTTTTTGAACACATGCACAGTTATTCCTTAATCCACTACTTAAATCTCTTTCTACACTAAATCCAATTCTAAGTAAAAAAACAATAAACAAAATATTTGCAAATATGTTGGACTTGATAAGTGTAAATTCTGAATTGCTTAAAAGATTGGAGGAGAGGGTTTTTGGATCATTGGAGGGGAATACAGATGATGATGAATTTTGGAATCCGGAGGATGGTTGTTTAGGAGACATTTTCCTTAATATGGTAAGTCCATAAAACTTATTGATGAATTAATAAGTTGATTTATTGGTTGATTGGTTGATTGGTTGATTGGTTGGTTGATTGATTGATTGATTGATTGATTGATTAAATTAATTAGGCGCCATTTTTCAAGATGTATTCTATTTATGTAAAAAATTTTAATTCGGCACTTGCAGTAATTGATGCAGAATTAAGGGATAATCCAAATTTTACTGCTTTTTTAAGAGTACGTTATTGAGTTTACTAAAAAAAATCTTTTTTAAATTTTTTTTTTTGACAAATATTTGATCTAAAATTTTTTTTTCCCTACTGACAAAAATAATAATTATTATAATAGGATGTGATTAAAACAGGACAATGTAAAGGTCTTACTTTGCAAGCATATTTAATAATGCCAGTTCAACGAATCCCTAGATATAAATTACTATTAGAGGATTTGCTAAAGAAAACACCTGATTCGCATTCTGATTATCTTAATCTAAAGAAAGCTTATCATGTTATTGAAAATGTTGCAACTTTTGTTAATGAAACAATTCGTCAACATGAAATGTTTATAGCTATGTTGGAAATTCAAAGATTTCTAACTGGATTTGATGAAGCAGTTTTAATACCTGGTAGAACTTTCATTAAAAGAGGAAGGGTGAAAAAGGTGATTAATAAAATTATATTAATTTTTTAATGTAATTTTATGTATTAAATTTGTCTAATACTATTAATATATAATATAATTGTTCTTGTTTTTTTTTCGATAGTATTAAAAAAATGAGTAAGGTTTCAAATTTTAGTTCTTTTATTTTATTTATTTATATATATATAATAAATAAATATTAATAATAATAATATTATTTTGCTTTCTTTTTGGTTGTTGAAAATAACACCAAACTGCTCCGATCAATTTAAACCAGACCAAGAAAGACATCATGGCTTTCGAGATTTTGATGATAGAGATGAAAGACATCACGATCGCCATTTAGAAGAACGTGGTGAAGATAATCGAGGCGAAAGAAGAAGTTTAAGTGGTTCTCGCTCTAGAAGTCCTCGTCGACTTCGATCAAGAGAACGAAGGTTGTTATTTTTAGCCACTTATAATTATTGATTAATGAACGAATGATTTTTAATTTTTTT